AGTTGCTCTGCCCCGGGCTTCCTGGAATCAGCTGCTGATCAGTTTCAGCAGCAGCTGACTTGGAGACGCCTGGGGTTCTTAAGTTGATTCTGTATGTAAGTCAGAACTGGCGGTCAGTTTCAGCAGTGTCTGAATCTGGACGCCAGTTCCGACTTACATACAGATTCAACTTAAGAACAAACCTACAGTCCCTATCTTGTACGTAACCCGGGGACTGCCTGTACAGAAGTTAAACTTCGTATCATTGTACTTGTCTATTGGCATCTGTCCAGGGCATTGGAAATTAAGTTTATCTTACAGTCTCTAGAGAGCAGAACTTTTTTGTATATTGTCAAACAATTTCTTGGGCACCATGCTGAAAATGAATCCTCGGAAGTCAAGAAAATTAACACTTTGTATTATCTGAAATGTAATTTCCTTCTCATAATTGCTGTTTCCAACCCAACTAACTTGTTCTGGATATTTACTAGCAAATGCATAATGACCTTAGTAACAGGGTAATTGGAAGTATATGTTGACCATTTGATGTTAGAAATTCTGAAATTACAATATTAAAAATCAGCTAAATTATTTACAGTTGAAAAAATTGGTAAAATGATCTGCCTTTTGCAGAGAACTATTAGTACCATATGCTATTATCAAATAGGATCTATGCTATTTTTTAGTATTTTCTTGTGAAATGGATAGTTTGTAAATGAGGTATGTTGCCAACAAAACAGCTAATGCATTTTAGCATGATGATTTATGTACCACATAATCCGTTATGACAGATGGTCTGAAATGTAGCTATAAATAAAAGTGTAGGAGTTTACTTTGGGAGCATTTATATTCTAGAAAATATGGTGAAACCCCTAGTTCTTACTACCCCTTTTTAAAGTTTTTCTGTAGGTTGGATTTTACTTTTATACAGCAGGCAATGAGTTGGTTTAAAATTGTTACATTTAAAAGATCATCCTGCATCTAAATCACTTCTTCTTTTATTGAGGAAAATAGGTTACTTCAATAAAAGTTCCCATATAGGCACAGTTATAAAGGGACTATTGAATTACTGACCATAGAAAACTAGTGCTAATCTGCCCCATAATTATAAATTCTGAACAACTACAAAAAATCTTAATAAATGGGTTAATATGCCCATAAGTAAGTCATTTGTTATTCAAAGCTAAATTATGCCTCCCGTTGCTCTGTGCTAGTGATTAAAAGAGGTAGCATCATAATTTGTCTCCTAGTTCTCCATTGTGCAATAAAAGAGTTTCTACTAGTACAGTTTGCGGTACTGACCAACCCCAAAGGGATTACTACAGTGATGTGTCCATGTACATGTCTGACTGCCTGTGCTGGCATGGAACATTCCTGATCTTTTTTTTTAAAAAGGGTAGCAAGACCTTCTAGGTGCCTTGCTTCTCCATCACTGTCTAGGAGGCAGAGGCCTTTTAGAGATAGAATTGAACTTTTTGCCTCCACTTGTGAGTGCCACTGAAAAATCTGACTTCCAAAAGAGTTCAATGCTCAGTCTATTCTTCTGAAAATCAGATTGCTTTTTTTGGTACTTTAGTGAGAGCTAAGCACTTCTTTGAAAATCTGGTTTCAGTTGCAGGGGCTAAGCGCCTCAGAAATCTGGCCTTAATGATTCCTGAGCCCATTTGCCATGTTGCTCTATCCTATTTCAGTCTCCAGCATAACTGAAGCCTAAAATTCCTTTGAGTCACATTATATTGATTTGTTTAAATTGTCATTACAATAAAAACAGAAAGCTTGCTGTAATTAGTTTATGTAAAATAGGATACCATTATGCATTCAGATTAATATTAAATTGAAGAAATGTTACTGAAGGAAATGAAAAAATATGTAAGAAAATGACTTTTCAATATGTTAAAATATTTTTTTTTAAAACAGGTTCCCAGTTCACTTGGGCATTTTATAAAACATTTACTTTTATTGTTCAGACACACAGCAACATGCAAACTTGTCCATGCTAGGGGGCATATGAAGGCTTTAAAACAATAGGCCTCAATGTTATTACTTTTAAGAAAAACGGGGTGTTACTTTCCTCCTTCCCAAATATTAGCAGACAATTAATTGGGTCCAGTATAGGATTAATCACAACATATGACCAAAGAATGAGCTTTGTCCCTTTGGCTAAATCCCCACTACTGAATTAATCATTCAGCCAATTTAATTCCACCTCCTATATGGAGGAGGCAATGAAGGCAGAGGTGAAAGGAAGCTCAGGCTGTGCAGACTTAGGCTTTGTCTACTATTCTAAAACTAAAATACACCCACAGCAGCACTATAAAGTGAAAATGTGGTCAGGGCAGTGGCTCTTGGAGAGAGCTCTCTCAGAGCTTTAAGTAAACCACCTCCACAAGGGGAGTAACTAGCTGTTCTGGGAGCCTGTTTACACTGACGTTGTTTAGCATTGTAACTTGATGCTTTTGGGGATAGGGGTGTTTTTTCATACCCCTGAGTCAGAAAGTTCCAGCACAGTAAAGTGGCAGTGCAAACTTAGCCTTAGTCCTAGGCTACATGATGTCCCCTGTTCATCTAAGATAAGCAACTTCAGCCATGTGACTAACATAGCTGAAGTTGACACAGTTACTGTGGTGTCTTCCATGAGGTAAGATCAGTGGGGACTGCTTTCCTGATAATCCTACCTACCCTTCATGTCCTGGTGCAGTACCAGAGTCAATGTGAGAGTGCTCGGAGGTTGAAATATCACATCTAAGCGGATGCAATAAATCAACTGCTGGTGCTTTGATTTCTTATAAAACAGTATTATTACGACTTTTTGTTTTAATGAGGTCTCATACTTCCATTGTTTGCAGCAGGTAGTTGATTTTTGGCTAGGGGAATCCCTGAGGCTAAGGAAATACTGTATTTGTCCCCATGAAATTCAGCTGGCACCTTAGGTTGGGACAGGAAGTAATTTTCACAGGGGACCACTCCAAAGGTTAGGTAAGTGACCACCAGCCTCACTTTTCTACTACATTAATGGAGAAAGTGTGGGGTCTGGGATGGAGTTTGGTTGCAGGATCAGGGTTCTGACCTGAGGCAGGGGGTTGAGGTACAGGAGAGGGTGCAGGCTTTAGGTGGGAGTCTTTGTACAGGATATGAATGAGGGTGTTGGGGTGCAGAAGAAGGTGCCAGGTGCAGACTCTGACTGGGAGGTGCTTCCAGCTGGTGCCCAGCAGAGTGCTCAGGCAAGCTGCCTGCATACTGTAGCCACATATGCTGCTTGGGCAAGCAGTCTTAGTGCACCTCCTGGGGTGAGGAGACTGCAGGTTTCTGTGCACAGGCCTCACCTGCAAGTACCACCTCCACAGCTGCCATTGGCTAGTTTCCATGGCTGTCAATCCAAATGTTAGGTGCTACCATAATATAAATGTTAAATTATGTTTAAATATTTAACCAAAGTCTAACTTTTGCATTAGTCAGTATGTAGTTCTATTACATATTTTTATGACCTTTCAGAAAGGTCTATTAAGTGTTAAATATGAGTTCTTTTAAACACTTTGCTGCTGAGTCGATCGGGTATGCAGTTCTTGAAATTGAAATTCATATGGAACATAGTAAAAAAAAAAGTGTTGGGGGAGGAGATCCACAGTGCAATGCCTAATTGTAGTGTTCATTTGAATAACAGACAAGGTAGGTGTCATGTTTTAAAGAGAACCACATTAATGCTTATGGTTATGTAACCTCCCAGGATCTGTGATTATGTTTTTGTTGTTTCTTCTCTTCTTTTTGTTTTTGTTATTTTACACTTTTGACATTTTTCAGAGCGCCCTCTGCACTATTCAGAAAATGTGCTGGAACAAGTTCTTCATTGGAGTTCATTACCTGAGCCTGGATCAGCATATCTTGTAGTAAAAAGGTTTCTAACAGCAGACACGATAAAACTCTACAGTGGTATGTATCATTATCTTTTAAAAAAATTAGCAGTTTTTTATGTCTTAAGTACCAACATGGCATAAACTTTCTAACAGTTTAAGTGATTGTTCTATATATGTAAAATATCATTGGAATATTTGAAAAACTCCCAGGTGCTACACAGTATAAAAACCAGAGCCCTACCAACTGTTACATTGAATTTCTTTAAACAAATGAGTTAGTGGTGTTCTTGTTTTCCCCACACTATACAGTCCAGTAATTTTTCTATGAAAACATTTAGTAGCCTGATACCAAACTCTGTGGCAATAGTTCTGAAACCGTGGTCTGCATACCACTGTAGGTCCACAGAGCACTTCTAGATAATCCATGTTTTGCTTGCTGATATTTGTAGTACAGTTGTGCTCCATCCAGATTTTTCATTCGCCAGTAAAGGTCTAGCTAGACTTTTGTGGTGATATTTTTGATGAATACCTTTGGTGATGGCCTTTTAGTGTTAAGAAACTGACTGTATATCCCGATGACACTAACTGGAGCACTCGAGTAAACAGAGGACAGATAGAATCAAACTGCAAAAGAGAACAGGGCAGTTGAAGTCAAGGGTAGGAAGAGAAAAATCGGTACAACTCCCAAGGAATAAACATAGCCTAGATGTAAAATGAGGAGATGTGATCTAGCAGTTGCATCTACAGTAGGGATGTTAAATATTGGTTAATAGTCGATTAACCTCATGAATTTTTATTGATTAGTTGACTATTCTGTAATCCCTGGGGGTGGGGCCAGCAGCCAGTGCACTCGGGCCCCACTCCTGAGGAGCACTCTGCACTGCTGCCTCTCTATCAGAGGCAGCAGTGCAGACTGCCAGGCAGGAGCTGATCTATGAGGGAAGCAAGTTTAAAAACCAGCTCCCCTTGCAGATTGGCTGCCTGTTGCCCTGCACTGTTGCCTCTGATAAAGAGGCAGCAGTGCAGGGTGGCAGCATCTCCTGTCTGGGGGGTGGAGAGTGGGGAAGGGACTGAGCTCCTGGACCAAGCACGAGTTGGAACTGAGCCGGGCTGCCTGTCTAGCTGGCTCCTAGTACACTTTAAATGCAGAGATGCAGCGGGAGTAGGTCCAGGACCCGGCATGAGCCAGGACTGAGCCGGGCTGCTAGCCAGCCTGCTAAAAAATTTACTGGCGGGGAGGAGGAAATGTGTGTAGTCTATAGCATTAACCTATAAGTCTTTGCTTATTGGTTAATTGATGAATAGACTACACTGTTACATCCCTAATCCACAGCCATTTCATGTGTTGTTAGTTTTTCACTATATTTGTTTAAGGGAAAGTATTGGATTGGAAGGTGGTTTCATGAGGGGAATTTCTGTGTTGCATGTTTACACCAAAACAAAAACTGAAAAACAGTACATTATGGATTAAAGTTGTATGAAAGTGGTGTCTATGGCAATCAAACCTACAGCAGATATTTTTTTTGATAGACTAAGTTTTAATATTTCATCATCTATCAACATATCCATATAGATATTTTTCTCTGTGTCACTTCCAGTAACACACATATGTAAATCTTAAGTAGGGTTACCAGATGGGTTTTAAAAAAATACCGGACACACGTGATCTCAGAACGGGAGGGAGGGAACCGGCTGGGAGGGGAGCAGGGCTGGCTGGGAGTGGGTTTGGGAAATTTTAAATGAATGGAGATGCCTATCTCCTAGAATGGAAGGGACCTTGAAAGGTCATCAAGTCCAGTACCCTGCCTTCACAGCAGGATCAAGTACCATCCCTGACAAGTTTTGCCCCAGATCCCTAAATGGCCTCCTCAAGGATTGGATTGAACTCACAACCCTGGGTTTAGCAGGCCAATGCTCAAACCACTGAGCTATCCTTCCCCCAAGATTGGGAGGGGGACTGGCCAGCAGGAAGCAGGGCTGGCTGGGAGGAGGTCGGGAGGAGCAGGGCTGATGGGGGGAGGGGGAGAACTGGGAGCGGGGAGGGGAGGAAGGGACCAGCCAGCAGGGGCCTAGCCGGGGCTGGCCAGGGGCAGTGCAGGGGGGAACCAGCCGGTGGGGGGCAGGGCTGATGCAGGTGCACGCAGATCCTGCGGTGCTGCCTGTCCAGCGCACAGTTCCAGCGGGGTGCACGAGCGAGTCCGGTCCTGGGGATTCCATCCCACCCGGGCCCCGCCCTGCTCGGCCCCACCCTGCCCCGTCCCGCCTCCACTCCCCTCCTCTCTACTGCGTAGCTGTGTACTTCCTGGCTGGTAGACACACTCACGTAGTTTGAGCATGTCTACCAGCCAGGCAGTATGCAGCTAAGTACTGATACTCCTGATAATAATAAAACGTATTTAATTAGAAAATACCAGACATTTATATGTCCGATATTTTCTTCATTTGTTTCCTGGACAGTAAGCTCAAATACTGGACTGTCCAGTTCAAAACCGGAAACCTGGCAACCCTAATCTTAAGCGTATGTGTGTCTGTCTATCTCTCTCTCAGTGGTGAAGCTTCCTTCTATTAAGAACAAAGGATGACAAGAAAAGGTCGTGTGCATATGGTTCTGAGTGTGATTACCTTTTCTTGTCATCCTTGGTTCTTTTTGTAAGGAAGCTCCATTTCTAAGAAAACACTATCCACTATTTTAACTAGTTTTATTCTTCAGTTTCACCATCCTTGAGAGTAGTAATTTATATAAGACCCATACAAAGGATGGGAGAGGAAGAAATTAACTAGCCTGTTGAGAGCTTAGACTAACAAGACAATATTTATTCCCAGTTGGTATTTGATGCATGGCCAGTAAAGTGAATGAAGCAAAAAAGGTGTTTTTAGTTGGTCATAAGGTGAACTGCTGTGTCTTTTATCAAATGGCATTTCTTCATTGTCGGAGAGTTCATTTCCAAATATAGGTCATTGCAGTAATTTAGCCTGAAGGTCTAATTTGCACTTTGGAAGAACTTGTTGTATATTGGGTTGTAGATATAGATCTTGTTGTTATGGTAACTGAGTAGGTCACTGGGGTCAGCCCAGCTAGTCTGGGCTTGTTCTGGTGAGTTCTGTGCTATGCAATAAAATGGACACTTGCACCTACTCCAGCTCTCTGCCTTTCCACTGATTTCTTCCTATACTCTGAAATTCCCCACGACATAACAATATCCAGGGCAGCTGGGAAGGCAGTCACAGGGGAGTCTCCTCAGCAGTCTGCCCCTGAACCTGCCTGGAACAGACAAGGCTTGAATTACAGTCAAGTAGGCTCTCCTTGCTGCTGCAGCAGCATTCTCCAGCCACTAGTTCCAAGAGGAGTGCTAGCCCTGCTCTGCAGGCTACACTTACAGGGCCACTGGGACCTTTTGAGGAGACTGTAGAGCAATGGCACGTATATACTGAGCGTTTTGAACTTTTTGTTATTGCAAATGACAATAAAGAAGAGAATGCCTCTCTTTGATGGAGAAGCCTGAAGTTCTGAGAGAGTTGTGTCTTCAGATGATCAGTCTGCCACCATGAGAGGTGTGTTGTAACTGAAACCTTTTATTGTCTATAGGCTTTAAAATAAGGGCTGTCTGCAGATGTTTTACCTACTATTGTTACACATAACCGTTTAAGGAGTCTATAAATTTAAGGTCAGAAAATATCCTTTTCAGTTTTTTTAAACATTTAGTTTCAGTATAAAAACTCATCAGTTCTATTTTTCACATTGCATACAGAAAAAACTGCTTTAAAAACCACAAACGTTGGCAGGAAGGCCTCAGAAACAGGTGTAGTAACTGCCACTGCTTTTATAAATTGACTATCCCTTTTAACCTTTGTATGCAGTACTTTAAAAGGAGAGGGGAATTAAAAAGGGAGCCAAATTTTTTTTGCACATCAAAAAGTTTCAGTTTGGGTGAACATACACATAGAATTTTATTTTCACTTATTGTAACAAGCTCCCTTTTCTCATGCATTAATTTACTTCCTTCCCAGCCTTTGAATGCCTCCTTAACATACACTTCTTCCTCTATGAAAGCTTCAATAAAGATTTCTCTAATCTGTGTGCTAATTACATGACCTTCCATCACTGTATTAGTATTTGAGCACCTTGCTAATTATTTAAAAATAGCAACACTCCTTTTCTTTTCCCCTTGAAAGCATGTAGGAGTTATAGCACTAGCTTAGAGGTCATTTGATTTTGTGTATGAAGAAATAAATGAAGGAAAGTTAAGTCTATAAAAAGTATTGTTTAAAAAGTGAAAGTTAAATCCTATTGAGGACAATAGAAAGGAACATAAACTCTGTCAAATTAAGTGTAAAATATTATAAGAAAAGCCAAAAAGGAGTTTGAAGAACAGCTAGCCAAAAAAATCAAAACGAAATAGCAAAATGTTTTTTAAGTACATCAGAAGCAGGAAGCCTGCTAAACAACCAGTGGGACCCCCAGATGATTCAGATGCCAAAGGAGCACTCAAAGGCTACGTCTGCACTACAAGGTATTTGCACTTTTTGTGCAAAAACTAGCAGAGCGTCCACACCTAAAGCACGTTTTTGTGCAAGAAAATCGACAGAGGGCTTTTGCTGTTAGAGTTATTCCTCTCCCCACATCGAATAACTCCTTTTTGTGCTACAGCTTTTGCGGTAGGTGTAGATGCTCTGGAGGGGTTTTTGCATAAGAAACCCCTGTCAGAAAAAGCACGGGTACTCTGATGGCCATTCTGTGAATGGCAACCAGAGCTTTCTTGTGCAAGAATGTCCATGCAGCGTGGATGCTCTCTTGCGCAAAAGCATATTGCTTTTGCGATGCGCTTTGATGTGTGGATGTGCTTTTGTGTAAGAAGCTTTTGCGGAAGATCTCTTCCACAAAAAGCTTCTTGCACAAAAACGCTGCAGTGTAGCCGAAGCCAAAGATGATATGTAGCTGAAGCCAAAGATGATAAAGTCATTGTGGAGAAACTAAATGAATTCTTTTTTTCAGTATTCACAGTTGCAGATGCTAGGGAGATTCCCAAACCTGAGCCATTATTTTTAGGTGACAAATCTGAGGAATTGTCCTAGATT